TCATTAAAGGCTTCTTGTACATCATCAAAAGTATAGGAATCTTTAGAAGTGGTACATACCTCTTCCGGTGGTTCCTCGTGTGCCATGAGGCAAAGGTTGGCGCTTTCATTTTCTTCGCCTTCCGATGACTCGTCGCCGGAATCACCTCCCCATGAGATGTAGGCTCGGTGCTTCTTGAACATTTTCTTCTTGTTCTTGGTGTTTGGACATTTTGGTTTTATATGCCCAACTTCTCCACACCCATAGCATTTGGGTGGGCTTCCTTGCTTCTTTCCTTTCCGTTCATACTCTTGGCTCATGAACTTATGGAATTTCTTGAGCACGATCCCGAACTCGTCTTCGTCACTCGAGTCTTCCATAGCACGTTCTTGGCTTTTAGATGCCTTGAAGGCAATCCCATTCTTCTTTTGTTCACCTAGAGAGGGATAAAGAATGGTAGACTCATAGGTTTTGAGATTACCTCTAAGTCCGTCAATGGTGACGTTGGTGATGCCGATGGATTCTTGAATGGCATCGGCTTTGGAGCGCCACTCCGGTGTGAGACTTCGCAGGATTTTTCTCACAAGCTCCTTGTCTGTGTACGTCTTCTTGAGAGCATGGAGATCATTAACGATTTTGGAGAATCGTTCAAACATCTCATCGGTTTTCTCATTCTCCTTCATACGAAACAATTCATATTCATGGGTTAGAAAATCTATCTTAGCTTCTCGGACTTGATTCGTACCTTCATATGTGATTTCGAGCTTGTCCCACATATCCTTAGCGGTCGAACAACATGAAATTTTCCGGTAGTCGTCCGGATTTACTGCACAGTAAAGAATGTTGATAGCCTTGGCGTTGTTCTCTATTTTCTTGATATCCTGCGCATCGTATTCGTCTTCGGTTTTGGGAACGGTGGTTTCCCCAACTTTTTTCATGGGCACTTCTTCCCCATTCTTGATAATTCTCCATAGGAGAAAGTTGTTGGATTGGATGAAAAATTCTCATCCGCTCCTTCCAATATGTGTAATTTGTTCCATCAAATAATGGAGGCCTCGTGGTGGATTGCCCTTCTCCTAAACCTGCGTATGAACTTTGAGTAGAAGCCATTGATCGTTTCTCTCAAACGGTTAAGTCTTACAGAGAGTAAGGCTCTTATACCAATTGTTAGAATAAAGGCCCAACGCTAGAGGGGGGGTGAATAGCGTTTAAAACAAAATCACAGGAAATTAAAAACGAGAGCGTTAAAGTAAAGAGCGTAAGGAAGGAGCACACCGAATTTTATCCTGGTTCACCACAACGTGTGGCTAATCCAGCCTCCCGAGAGACTCTCTCGAGCTACACTAACTCCGTTAAGCTTAAGGGTGCTTAACAAACCGATACAACTTGAGAACCCGAGTCACACGAGCCTCAACGCCTTTGCTCGGAGATACCACACTCCAAGACTTCTCACGAAGGAACAAAGAACTTCCTTCGAGTTTACAACAAGGGAACAACCTCCCTTAAAGTGTATGAAAACACTTAAACACTCAGGAATAAAAC